ATATAAACGATTTGAGATTGAACGTTTTGTTTAATATTCACAAACGCATCCCCAAGTCCGGGCCGCTCATACACAGGATAGCCTGTGTATGTTCGGCTTCGATTTCTGCCTGAACACTCAAAACTTTTTTGTTATAACTTTCTATCATCTTCAATCGATCGATCAGTTCGGCGTTCGACAGACCCTTAAATAAGTTAATGCTCGAATTGACCTTAGCACCGGTAGTACTGAACAAAATTAAGGCTCGGAAGATTTACAATTTTTTTAATTCAAAGACGTAATTTCATCACTTAAATGTCGATGACGTTTCCCTTGCGCTTAGAAAGGATTTTAATTTAATGATCCCTAAGAGGGCTGGGGAATTCGCAGACCCTAATCAATGCCTGACGTACAATATAAATACGATTCCAACCATCCAAAAGGAAGGGGAACCTGTATTTTCTAAGCTTTACCCCTACCCAGTGGGAGTATCTGGTTTTATCAATGAAGGGGTTAAACAACTTCTGGCAGACGGTATCACTTTACAACAATCCCGTGTGGGTTGTCGATAAAAAAAAGTCACGATGAATGTGGCAACAAGAAAAAATGGCTCGTTTTTGGTTTTAGGAAACTAAATCAAAAATGATTAACGATAAGTACCCTATTCATTGTATTTCTACGATGCTTGCAAATATGTGGCCCAGTATTTTACAACATTAAACCTTAAATCGGGCTTTCATTAAACCGAGTTGGCAGAGATAGATAGGGATAAAACCGCCTTCTCTATTAACAACGGAAAATAAAAGTTCTATAGATTTCCACTCGGACTCAAGAACGCACCCAGCATTTTCCAAAGTGCAATCAACGATGTGTAACATCATCATTGATCACAATTTTAACCAAGGTCAGGAGTCGACCCATACCTCACGTTTCAATTAAATGACTTGTACGGACTGACAATTTTCGTGTTGAATTCGTGGAAAATATCAGATCCAACGATACTTCGGGTTATTTTATGGAAATTCTTGCCTGATTATGCTCCTACTCAAAACTTTTAGTAACCTACATGGAAAAAAACATCAAAGATAGCTATGTAGTCCAGCAGAAACTACGAATATATTATTCGTAGCGATCGCATCTTAGCCCACCCTACCTATGAGCCCTTATGAGCGTATTATAATTAAAGGCTCACAAAGTTCTCGGGTTAGCCTTTCATACTGCTGAGGAGAAAACTTATTAATTATTATATAATAATAGCTCCGTAGATATAAAATATATTTATTCTTGATCAGCACGAGTCGTCTGAGTCCGTCTGTCCGTCCGTCCGTCTGTCCGTCCGTCTGTCCGTCCGTCTGTCCGTCCGTCTGTCCGTCCGTCTGTCCGTCCGTCCGTCTGTCCGTCCCTCCGTCTGTCCGTCCGTCTGTCCGTCCCTCCGTCTGTCCGTCCGTCTGTCCGCCCGTCTGTCCGTCCGTCTGTCCGTCCGTCTGTCCGTCCGTCTGTCCGTCCGTCTGTCCGTCCGTCTGCCCGTCCGTCTGTCCGTCCGTTTCTACGCAAACTAGTCTCTCAGTTTTAAAGCTATCTGCATGAAACTTTCCCAAAAGTTGTCTTTCTATTGCAGGTAGTACATAATCAGAAAGAGGCTGTTCGGACGACTATAGCATATAGCTCCCATAGGAACAATCGGAAAAATAAATAAAAAGAAATTATAACTTTGCTTTTTATTTTATTTTTAGTTCTTCGAGATATAGTAATGCTTAAATATTTCAGAATTACGGTTTAAATTTAATCTAAATCGGACGACTATATCATATATGTAGCTCCCATGAAATCAATAAATAATATAAATGTTATTAAATAATAAATAATAAATAAATTAAATGTAAAATTTCTACTTTGTAAATTTTTTTTAAAAATTCTTTTTGACTAATAATTTGACAGTTTAGAATTACGCTTTTAATTTTATTAGAATCGGAAGACGATATCATATAGCTGCCATAGGAACTATCAAATAATTAAGCTGCAAATCATCATATCTTCAATGCTTTTAAACATATACGCAAATAAATGATAATTTTAATGTTTTCAAGAATATTTATTTTTCCAATTGTTTTGGAAACAATTTATAATCAAAATATTGATCAAGAAACCATTTTTTTTAGGATTCAGTTCAGAGATATGGTGGTCAACGCAAAACGTATGTAATGAGAGGAGCTCCCGAAGGTCAGCTTTATCTCTTTTCCAAATTAATATTTTAACTAATACTAACTCTTAAAATACTGTTTTAAATCAACAAATTTAAGACTTTAAAAAAAAAATTCTTAAAAATTCCGATTTTTCGGCACTATGTAGAGCAACTCTCTCATAACCGCAAAAGATTTCGTCTTTTTGCGACTGCACAATCGAACTCGTGCAATGGGTCCGCTAGCATAAAAATGAGACTAAGAATGAGAGAGCAAAAAACCCGAAAGCACACGAAGCGCCGGGGCCTGCTGCTGAGGGCCCCGGGGGCCTGCCGTTATGAAATTTTTGTGTCCAAATTTGTTGTATGAAATGATCAGTCTATATGTTGTGTGGTTAGTGATATGACATAGAAGTAATCGAATTAATTTTATCAACTAGATCAAAAAGGGGGATAAATGAGTTAGGCACTGTGTGGAAACGGTTAGTTGGAATTCGGTATCATGATAATTTTATTAAAGTTCAGAATAAAGTCAATGAATTAATTGAAAATAATAATAAGCAATTTATTATCAATTCCAAATTTTTCAAAGAAATAGAATCTCTTTCTGATGATTTTAGAAATGTTTTTATTAATCAAGATTTACCACTGCGAAAACATCGCTTACGATTATTAACATTTGATCTGCAAAATTCAATTGACACAATCACACTAGCAAAAATTGACGTTTTAAATACCAAAATTTTAAACAATGAACAAAAACCAGTAATTATCACTGATTAAATGGACATATCTGTCTTTAAAATCGCACTGCATAAAGAACTTTTAATAATTTATATGAAATACCAAATAATAAAAAACAAATGCGAAATATATTACGCTAGAGCGATTTCCCAAATCGATGGGAAATTAGTATTAAGCAATCAAGACGCAAAATGCGCAAATATGTTTTATGAAATGTCTAACTTTAAGAACGAACTTTGTAATAATTATTGGACTTTAATTAAGGAAAATAATTATTTTACCCGATTATTAAATGGTGCGAAATCAACTTGTAAAAAATAGACATCATACAAGATGGTGAAATTCTTATTAACAATATTGTTAACAAAAACAATTTGAATGGTTCATTTTTAATAATATTTAATGGTACAACCAGAATTAATAATATCACTTATATCACTTAGGAAAACAAAACTCTAAACTACATAACTACGAACCATTTCAAAAATTATGAAATGTAAATGTAAATTACATATTTTCAAATAACTCGGAACTTTCCCTAGATAATATAAACATTTTAAATCTTTTCATTAAAATTAATTATACTATATCACTTACTTTTAAATTAAAAATTTAATCATTTAATTTAATTTAATTTAATCATAATATATTTTATTTTTTTACTTATTATAAAATACAAAAATGATACAAAAAAAAAAAAAGGCCAGAACTAGACGCTTTTAATATAAACATACATTGAAGTTCTAAAATTAAAAATGAAAAGCTCATGGCCAAGTATAAAAAGTGTCTTGTATTAATTGAGTTTTAAGAATAAAGGTTTATCACTCAAGTATTAAAAAAAAAATGTAAAACAGGAATCTAGTCGCCGCATTTGCTTTTGATAAACACTATCGCGGTCGGTAATAAGTTTTTTTTTGGTTGCACGAGTCAACATAATTCGAGCCCGCTGTGATTCTTCTCCTGATTGTGTATTTAAACTTGACTCTGTAATTATATGTTGACTGTCGTTAGTAAATACCAATACCCGTTGAGAAGGATTAAAGTTGTGCAGGAGTTAGTGGTGCGTTCCACGTCAAATTTTGCACATATTGGTAATTTTTTCTTTGGCAGGCGATTATAGCCAGCGTATGTGGCATTAAGAAAACATTATTTGTTAACATTGAAAATCTTGCATTCGCAGAAATATAGGTCTCCTCAATCTGCGCTTCCAGTATCGCCGTAAAACAATTCTTCGATTGGTGATTGCACCTGGCATATTTGACGGAAATAGGAATCCCAAATCTGAATATTACAAAATCTGAGTAGATACCCACAAATACAATTGCCGCAATTAAAACAGTAATTTTTACGAAAATTTATATAAAATTAGGATCTTTAGACTTCTCTTTTGTATTACTAGTGCGTCGGTGGACGTGCAGAGTATGTGCAAATGTGATTTGTGTGTACTCACTGCTACCGATTTATTTATTTTTTTATATGCGACTGACGTTACAAGTTTGTCGATTTGCGATGCTCCCTCCTTCTTGGCGCGAGTGAATGAAGAAGCGGATGGAGTTGAGGTCCTTTTGCAATGGTATTGGCAAAAAAAGATTTTTAATATTCCACGTTCTCAGCTTGGAGACTGTCGTGTCACGGTCGCCAAAAATGTTTGAGCTCAACCTGACAGTAACAATTCCCCAAGAATTGTTCGTAAAAGTTAGTGTAAGCAATTGTAAAAAAAACATGGCTGTTGCTAATACTATGTGTCTGTACATGTTTAATGCGTTCAGATAATAAAATTAAAATAATAAACCATCACCATTACCAATATTTATATACTAAACAAAAATTTAAAAAATATCAAAGTAATAATTTTTTCAATTTTTTCCCTATTGTTCCTATGGGAGCTATATGCTATAGTCGGACGGTTGAACGGACATGGCTTTATCGACTCTTCTGATGATGCTGTTAAAAAACTTATATACTTTATAGGAGAAATGTCTTATTCACTGCGTTGCAGTCTTCTGATTGATATTAGAGTACCCTCTGCAAGGGTATATATAGATATGGTTTAATTTTCTTTGTTAAAGTTTTAACTCTTCTTATTTTGAAATTTCAGCAAAGCTTTACTTCGAACTGGCCCCGAATGCTTTGGCTAGCAATTGACCAAAAAGGTATTCACTTACTGGAACATCGTTCACGAAATATTTTATGTACCCACGGATACGATTCCATAATATCTTTTTCCCCAAATTTAAATTCGTTAATGATAATTACTGGAACGGAAAAAAAACAATCTAAAGTGATTTTAAGTACTTCTCAGGTAAGAAAATAAAATTTCATTCTTGCAAAGATTGGTGCAATACAAATACACAGCAAGCTTACATAATAATATAACAAGTCTACTTTGTGAGCATTTGAACAAATTTGCAATTACAAAATGGGTACATAATTTAACATCCATGTTAGGTGTGAATGGATTTAAAAATGATTACTTTGCCATAGACATGGCGGCCTTGTAATGCAATACAGGTACGATCTGTATTTCTAGATATATAGACACAATTTAAAAAACGTATACTAAGTTTTAACACAGTTGGCCTACGAAAAATAGTTTTACTCTTTTTCTCTATTCTCGAGCAGCATGAACTCATCGGAATTGGTTCGGTTCTTGGAAGCTTCTTCGCTCTCCAACATAAAAAGAAAACATATTTGTGGCGATCTGTACCAGCAGAGTGCGGCGTTAAGGAGAATGTTAATGTTCTCGCTCTATCTCCACAGCAGGTTCGGCTGGTACTTTGCCAATCGGTTGGCAACGTCCTATTATTAGTTCCAGAGTCACCGGCCAGAGCGGATGGCCAATAAAGAATATAATTATTAGTTGATATAAAGTGTTTCACTCAGTGTGAGATCAAGGTCTTTACACTGGCGACGAGAATAAAACCGAAGATTAAGTTTGTGCTAACCTTTTGAATGAAAACAAGAAAGAAAGCAAACCTCGGCAAGCCGAATTCATATACCCTACCCATACACAGCTATTGCAAGAATTAAATACTTTGCGTATGTGTTGAAAAACATTGAAGCAATGATAATTTGCCGCTCAATTATTAGATATTTATTTTATATATTTTTATTATTTCTATGGGAGCTATGTAATATAGTCGTCCGATTTTGATGAAATTTAAACCGTAATTCTGAAATAATTACCCAAGACTATATGTCGAAGAACTAAGAAAAAAATTTAAAAACAGGTAAGTTATAATTTTGTTTTCATTTTTTTCCGATTGTTCCTATAAGATATAGTCGTCCGATTTTGATGAAATTTAAACCGTAATTCTGAAATAATTAACCATTACTATATGTCGAAAAACTAAAAAAAATGAAAAACAGCAAAGTTATAATTTTTTTTATTTATTTTTCCGATTGTTCCTATGAGTCTATTCCAAATGGAGTGAGATCCAAATAAAAATAAAGAATCTATTCCAAATGGAATGAGATCAAGGAAAGGAAATAAAAGCCTTAAGTTATCTGTTCCTAATGGAATAAGAGCAAAGAAAGAGAATACAGAAAATCCCGATGTTGAAGGACTATTTTGGGATTTATGTTTTAATTTCAGGAAAATTTATGACGGAGCTGAAACCTTTTCTATACCAGACGATGAACAAGGCGTTATGGCGTGCGGAGTGGGAAATGTGGCTGCGCGCATTTACTATATATGTGGACACGGAGGAGATAAAAAATGTGTATAAAAAGAGGAATTAACTCCTTCACTTGGGTGGACCTCAGCTTCAGGCAGTTGTGTATAGCATTCCCGGCGCCCTGATACCATGCGACGACAAGACTAAAAACGTCGTGGTAAGCAAACTAAATGAGTATTTTTCACCGCTGCGCAATTCCGCGTTCGAAAGGCACCTGTTTCGATCGATGACACCGGTGGAGGGAGAAAATTTTACGGAGTTTTTACTTAGATTGCGTCAACAAATCGCTAAGTGTTCATTTGGTGAGACTATGAGACAAATCGAAGAGATCTGTTTAATCGATAAAATTATTGATGTCTGGGCCCCATTAGACTTAAAGACGAAATTGCTTGAAAATGAGCAAACTTTGGAGGATGTCTTAAAAACATGTTGCATAGACGAGCAAGTAAGCAAACAAACGCAGTCTTTGGCCGCACCAACTACCTCAAGCAATATTAACATACAGCACGGTACAGCACGGGTGTGGAGTGCGAAAGATGTGGTAGAAGAGGGCATAGGAAAAACAGCGCGGAATGCCTCGCTAGGAACATGAGGTGCAGAAAATGCGATAGACTCGGGCATTTTTATAAGAAATGAAAATGAAATGAAATGAAAATCAATCTTCTCTATGGAAAAACCGGATCGAAAACGGCGACGTCAGGGAAATACTAGGATACAATCAATATGTAATGAAACTCAAAATGAGTATGGCGAATCAAAGCCTACCAACCTGTTTAGAGTAGCAAATAAGCAAATAAGTGGTCATACGGTCGCCATGATTCTTGATTCGGGCTCAAAGTATAACCTAATCAGTCATTCGGATTGGCAACAATTGCGCAAGGGAAAAGCAGTCTTGTTTAACGTTTGCACAGAATCAGTAAACCAATTTAGAGCTTATGCCTCAGACCGTCTTCTCAAAGTATTACAAATTTTCAAAGCACCGATTTCGGCACGGATCGATTCTGAACTGATTGCTACTTTTTACGTTATTGAAAATAGTAAACAATCTTTGTTAGGACGTTACACAGGACATGACACTCAACGTCTTAAGACTGGGACTAAGCGTACATAGAGTTGAAAAAGTTGAACCATTCCCCAAATGGCGTGATGTTTCATTTAAACTTTCGATTGACGAATCCATTACTCCCATCCAACAACCCATTAGGCGTGTACCGGCAGCGTTGGAAGAAAAATTGATAAAAATCTGGAAGAAACATTAAGCATGGACATTATTGAACCCGTATCTGGTCCAAGCGCATGGATATCACCTGCGGTTATTGCATTTAAAGATGATGGTGATATTCGTTTATGATATGCGGCGTGCAAATAGAGCTATTCAGAGAGAAAACTACCCATTCCCAACTTTTGATAATTTAATGACTAAACTAAGGGGTGCCAAACATTTTTCAAGGCTCGACCTGAAAAACGCCTATTATCAATAGGATTTGGTCGAATCCAGCAGAGGAATTACAACATTTATTATCTCTGTTCGTTATTTACCTTCTTCATACCTCCCGTATACCGATGGATCGCCGCCGGCCACTGCAATGCGATCCCCTATTGTCAATGTCGCCAGTCGAAAGTTACTTCATTGTTCTTGACCCGAGTTTTTCCATTTACGGCAGCTCCCTCTTTTATAAACGTTTACCAAGACATTGTTGAGTTCTGCTTCATATTATAATTTATTGAAAAAATTTTTCACTTAAAAAGGTGCGCATTTAATTGACAAATAAAAGAGTAAATTAGGGTGCCAAATTATTTAAATTGAGAAATATTCTACGCGGTGTATATAATATTTGTATTAACGTATAATAAAACTGTTGAGAATGAAAAAATTTTTAAAGAATAATATTTTGAGTTAATTTATAAAAATAATAATATGGATCTTACATGGATCAATTTAATGTATGAGGATTAGATATATATCTAAATGTTTAAGTTGCACATAGATAAGTCAAACGCAACTCACTTACCCCTTTTTATTTCCATCGACGAGAGCTCTCATTGTGGTATTCTGGGTTGGGGAAATTAATTATACACATATGCATAAATATATTTATATTAGTGCAAATTCACTTAACATTATTACTAAAGTGTTGGACTAATTTATATAAAAAAATTATGTTAATTGTCATTTCTTGGGCAATTGCGCGATGTTGGTCTTATTTCACAAACAGAAGAAAAAATGATTCGCTTTATTGCGATACGAATTGCGAGAAAGAGAAGAGTGAAAACGGCCCTCGCGACGGTTGACGGTAGCACTTCTAGCTGAGGTTTCTTCTGGTGGTTCCAATTACAAATAAAAGCTTTGGTCTTTGTCTTGCATTTAATTGTTTGTTTATTATAGATGGGTTGATTTTTTTTCCGAAATTGAAATAATAATAATGATATGTTAGTGGTGGCTCCTTTCTGGCCAATTGGCGGTGGCAGCTATGATTTTTTCCAGCTCGTGTCCGTGGTCCCGACGACTCTGCACAGATCGCTTGTACATCCGTAGGAAGTTCAGAATCAACATTAGGATCAAGAGTCCAGTAATGAGGCACAAAACATTGTAGACTTTGGTTATGTCCTCCTTGTGATCTACAATTTCGACGTTGTTCACCACGTTTGCCGTGTTGTCGGATGCTTTCGAGGTTGGAAATCCCAGGATATATAAATTATATTTCTATCGGGTTCTAAGTTCGATCACTCGGATAGGTCCTCCGCGGTTACTGTTTTTGCCAGAAGAGGACTTAACGCGGTTGCGCGGTCGTTTCTGTCTCGACTCCCGATTCTCAATTATCTTGGACTATGACTGCCCGATTCGCAATCATTTGGACTGTCTCTCTCGAACCTAAGGTGGGGGCTCTTTTATACCGGTGGTATTGCTTCCGGGTCATCTAAGTGTTCTCACCTAGGTACAGCATTTCCCCTTTTTTGTGGCTTAATGGTCCACTTCTGGATTCTGCTAGATTTCATATTAATTGCTGCGTATACCTATTGCCTGCTGTATGTTTTCATGAATTGCTTACTCTGACCAATTCTTTGCTGGTTACTGTATTGGCCAATTTCGGTGTTTCGCCACCTGCACTTCACAGTGTCTTCTGTCTCTGGTTATTGTATCGATTTCTTTCATGTCTTATTTCTTACCCCGCTCCCGTAACACGTTTAATGTTTGATGGAAAAACTCTTATCTCCTTGTCAAAATGCCTTAAACTACATTGACGACATAATAGTCTTTGGGAGCAATATGGAAGAACATGACGCAGCCCTAAAAATGGTAAGGACAACTTTGAAAGATAATAATGTTTTGCTGAACGAAAAGAAATGTACACTAAGAACCCTGAAATTAAAATTTTTAGGCCACATTTTGTCCGATCAAGGGATCGAAGTTGACCCAAAAAAAGTTAAGTTAATTACTGAGTTCAGAGCTCCCAAAAATAAGAAGAAATACGCTGTTTCCTTGGTTGTCCGTCAGGAATCATGTCATTTTGTTGACCTACTCTTCTTAAATTGGTGTATAGCAAGTCATGTTAGAACACTGATTACATTATAATTTTATTATATAATAATTTATTTAATTTTGTATGCAAAAGCTTACAATCAT